GTGTAATATCATTTTGTAGATTTCATAAAACTAAGCTATTACTTGTCTTTTCACTAAAACTTGTTCATTCGCTCTGCCATGACGTATCTGCAACCTCTTTAATTCCATCAGTTGGAAAAATATTTTCCTCTCCAGGTGATATCGTCGCAGACTAATTTGCACGTCCCTCGTTATGGTGTCCATGTTGAGTGACTGCTGTTTGTCTGTGTTCGGGCAACATTTCATAATTCTCCTTCTTGGTATTCTTGACACCCTGGGGCTAGGCTCTATGCCACTGTCTCTGCCGCCGCTGTCCCGACGTTGTTTGCCTTGCAATCGACTAGTTCTACTCTCTTGCGGGCTTTGAACTCGCGTTAAGCGAATGCGAGAACTAGATTGCACCTACGCAAACGAAATACAAAATTATTGCTTCACTACGTTTTCATACTTATATTAAAAAATTGAGAGAGCTTCAAAATCACTTGAATAGTTTTTCAATTCTCCTCTTTCTAAGTTAGTTCAGTTATAAAGAAATATTAAAAAAATAAACGTTTCACCTGGGGTAACGAGTCGGTCGCTGAAGTTTTGCAGACATCCGGACCCACTCGAGACATTTCTTCCTCGCTAGTGCTCGGTAATACTCTCACGACGCCCATCTCATTATCCTCCTCAGGTTCGGTCTCGTGTTCTCCGTCTTCGCCGATCGCGTCTCTTATCTCTTTGTCGATCTCCTCGTCCTCGTCGTCCCATTCCGGGCTCTCGATCACCGCCACAATTGCACTCCTGTCTGGAGAGCGTTCTTCTGAACTTTCGAACAAACATTTCTTCTCCACCGACGATCGAGACCGTCCAGTTTTCCTAACTTTCCCCGTCGACGGTCTCGAGCGTCTGACTTGCGCCGATTTCGGTGAACTAGAAGAACTTTCGTCGATGTACCGGAAGCTCTCCTCTTCTAAAAGGATATAAAGGAATATAACGATTTTGTATTTTGCAATTAACTTCTGTTTTGTATTAATTATTGTTGTCTGTAGTATTTAGAAGTCAGTGAAAGAAGTTATCTTACCTGTCGTTGCTACCTCATCTGCTGCACGTTTCTTTACTTTTTTCTCCTCCTTTTGATCTTCCAACGTAGTCTTTGATGGAGGCAAGCCTTGAACGGCTTCCTCGTGGACAGACATTTTTCTTTTTGTCGTACTCGCTGTTTCGACGCTTAACGATCGTTCTTCGGCTTCTTCCATTAACGCGGAGTCTTTCGAGGATGAAAAGTCGACCGATTTTCTACGGAGAGCACTTGTTTGCCCCTTTTCATCCGTCGACTTTTTGCCCGAGCTTTGCGACGATTCTTTAGTGACACTTCCATCAGCTTCCCGGGTATCCGACGTCTTGTCTTCGACTCCCTTGCTCGTTTTCACAGAAATCTTTTTCGTACAAGATTCGCGTTTCTTCAGTTCCTTCCTTCTGTGGCTTTTTTTGGGGCTCTCGTCAGATTGCTTCGAAGACGAAGATTTCGATCTTCTTTCGTCGAACGACGATCTTCTCCTTGCTGTTCCGGGTTTACTTTTTGATGCACTTTTGGCTTCCTCCGAAGACGATTTTTTCTCGTCATCCTCCGATGGGAGAACGTCTTCTACGACTGTTCTTGGCGTGGCATCTTCTCTTTGCGCATCCTTTTGACTAATTGAACTCTCGGATTTACTAGCCTTTTCCGATTCTTCGTAATCCTCCTTGATAGTGTGTTCAGATACGTCGTGTTTCGTCTCGGATGACGTTCCTTCGGATTTGGAAGCGAGTTCGTCCTGCTGACTCTTACGTCGTTGGTACTCCTTCTGAGACGTGGGACTTCCCTTGTCACTCGTCTCGTGTGCGTCTAAACTGCCTGGAAAGAGGACTCTACAGAAAATTGACAGAAAACTTAAACAAAAGTAATTATACCAACATGTTGAAATACTATACGTAATGAATTTAAATTATATTAAATATGAATTTTATTTAAAATTGTACCTTTTTCACTTTCATCCTTTTTTTCAAGAGGCACTTCCTTTTCATCTAAATCTTTCTTCACTTTTTCTTCACCCGGTTCTTCCTTTACATCCTCTTTAGAGTCTCCTACTTGCGTCTTTTCATGTGTCATTTGTTGCCTCATTTCTTCTACGTCCTTCTTTAAACTAACCGCCTTTTGAACAAGATTGCTGCTCAGTTCGTCACTCTGTTCTACAATGTCCTTACTAGCTTCCGAGCTACCGTCCCTCGACCCTTCTTCCATCTCGATCACTTCAGTCCTTAATCGATCATCGAAAGTGACTTCCTTTTCTACAATAGACTTCGGCGTGTCCGGGCCTTGATCCTTGTGAACCATGGCTGTCACAACGACCCGTTCTACTGTCTCTTGGCTAGTGCTATCAGTTACGTCTCTCCGATATCGACTTTCAATAATTTTCTCATGGCTCCCTTTGTCCTCGTCTACCGAAGTCCTCGGAGTCTCCTCGCTGTGAAACGTAGAATCCCTCTGTTCTTGTTCCTTGTCAAAGGACTGCATTCTATCGCTCGTACTGTCACCGTTTTCCAGCCCTTTTTTAGACTTCGATTTCCTTTTAGTACTCCTATGAGTTTTAGTGAACTTCAACTCTTTCGAACTCTCCTTGGGTGTTTTTGATCTCTTCCCGGAAACCACTTTCTCGCATTTCTTTTCTAAAGACTTCCGCACTACCACCACTTCCAAACTGTCATCGCTCACACTTTCCTCGCTGTCGTCCTTTCTCAAGTATTCCCTAGCTTCCATTTCGTTGCTTCTTTCCGTTTTACTTTCTTCCACGCGCGAATCGAACTTCTGTCTTGAAGTGTCCTCAGCGTAATCGTAGCTGTCCGATTCTATCGAAGATTCGCTCGACTCGCGTCTAGATTTTGTCGAGCCTTTCTTGCTCCTCTTTCTTTTTAACTTACCATCAGTATCGTCTTCATCGNATATAATTGTAACGAAACTTTAAGGATGTATTGGCTATACAGTCAATCCCGAAAGTTTATGTACCTCAGAAAAACGCATTTCCTATAATTAAAAATAGTGCACTTTTCTTCTAATTTCGATATTTAATGAGTTAAGTATGATTATTTGGCATTTTATTGATGTTGACAAAATTCGACCATCCCAGCGTCGAAACGGCGAACTTTTGGAAAAAAATTTCGTTTTTCTTCAATAACTCCCGAACGGATGGACGTAGGGGGGCATATATATGCTCATTTTGTAGGGGGCAACGAGATCTACAATTTCCATGTAAAAATTCTTCGCTAGCATTAATATTTAAAGAGTTATGAATGAAAAACGAAAAAACAGTTTTTTGCAAATTACTCGTTAACTATTGAAGCTAGCAAGAAACTTTTACATGGAAATTGTAGATCTCGTCGTCCTCTACAAGAAAGGTTTCATGCAATTTTTCCGTATGTCCAACGGTTTGGGAGTTATTTGCCAAAAACGAAAATTTGGAAGAAATTGAAGGGGTACCCCTTGGAAAAATCTCGGAAAAATCGAAAATTTTTTTTTGTTGTTTATTATTAGCAATGTTCTTCCGAAATGTGATTTCTTTTTAAAAAATGCGTTTCTAAAGTGCATAAACTTTTGGGATTGACTATATAGCCAATACATCCTTAAAATAATTCAGTGAATACTATTTCACGTCCATTATAAAATACCAATAAATACACTTCATCAAATTTTGCTCATTTTTATTTCTTTTACCAAAGATTAAAAGACATTGTAAATACCTGACCTGACCTTTATTTGGTACAGTTCTCTGCATCTTAAGCTGTTGCGCCGTGGTACCACCGTGCATTTGTATCAATTTCGCACAGTCCCTGTACCCCCTGTACAACGCCGCGTCCAGAGCAGTCATCAGGTTCCCTTTACTAGTCCTTAACACGGCGTTGATCCTTGCGCCATTATCCAGAAGGACCTTGCACATATCCAAGTGTCCATGAAGAGCGGCTACGTGCAACGGCGTTTTGCCATCGTGCGTGGCCACGTCTAAAGTGCTCGGACGCTTTTTCGCGAGCCATTTGATCAGCTCGATTCTGCCGGAAGCGACGGCTTCGTGAGCGACGCCAGTACCTCGCACAGTCCTCGCGTAAAGAGAGCCGCCGTGCTGGGCAAGAATCTTCAGGGTCTCCAGTTGACCCTTGGCAGCCGCACAGAGTGCAGGTCTAAAATATTTCAGACTCTTTTTATATATTCGTAATTTATTCATTTGTATTGAAAGATCTCACAATTTTATAAATAATCAGTTTGGGTTGTTTTATCAATTGCTCTATGTATATCGTATTCGCGTTATATTCGTAATACACATATACGTAATGTCTAGAATGAAGGCGTATTCTATATGTATGATAGATAATAATGCCAATGTACTCCATGACCTATGAGTTCTAGTAGTACTACATGAAATCAATTTTCTGGTAGATACAACAGGTGTACTAATCAATGAAAACGATTTCAAAGTGAAATGTATAAGCATTCTCGAATTCTTTTTATTACATCCATAATTTATATTCCTTTTAACAAATTTTTATGCATCCTTTTTCCTTGCACAATTTAATAATCTAATTATTATGCACTCACGTTCTACCCTTTCGATCCTGCCGATTAGGATCAGCCCCTAATTTTAGAATCAAAGCCGTTGCATCAGCGTGGCCAAGAGTGGCAGCGTAATGTAAAGCTGAACATCCATTATCGTCGACGTGATCGGGGTGAGCACCGCAGAGGTTTACTAATGCCTCCACGCACCTAGCGTGTCCCCTGGAAGCGGCGCAGTGAAGCGCCGTCAAGCCGTCCTTGTCCGCGGCTCCTGCGGCGGCTGAACCACCGGCTCTGCATTTTAATTATTGTTTCAGAATCATTCATTTTTTTGCTAGAAAGAAATTCAGATAAGCCCCGTGAGAAACGTTCGCACAGTTTAGTGGCAGTTCATTTTTCTTCCTATAAATTCAGTCTCAATGCGCATCAATGATAATCAACGGTTCTAATAAAAAAAAAAAAACAGTAAAATGAATAATTTTAAGTGTTCTTACGAACTCGTTTACCTAGCTAACGCTAGCACAGCTTCCACGCTGCCGGCACTCGCCGCCCATAAAATCGGTTGCCTCCCGTCTTCGTCTTTCGCGTTCACATCGGCCCCAAACTCCAGGAGGGTCTGGAGAACTTTCATGCCAACCTTCTTGGGAACAGCGAGCTCCGCAGTTGCGGCGGCACCGCAACATTGCGCGGCGTAATGTAGAGGAGATCCCCCGCGGAGATCAGGAGTCGATGGACGCGCACCCGCTGCTAACACCAGCCGAACGCACTCCGCCTCTCCGCAGACTGAATAACAAATTACGTACATATTTACCGGTTTTACATGGATTTTTAATCCGAGGACGAACAGATTTTTATTTATAATCAAATTTATGTAAGCGTCGTTTGAATAAAGAATTAAAAAATAAATATCGCGTATAATCGGCGTACTTTTGTAATCATAAAAGTGCATATAAAACACACGCGTGCTCGACATTCTGCACTTTTTATTTTATATACAAGGAATAATTAAAATTTCAAATTTTGTCGTTCTATAAAATGCAGTAAGTTCAAGGCAGCTATAAATTCGTGAAGCCTATTACATTCACACTGATTACATTACGCTAATGTTCTCTCCTTTTTAATGTAAAGGTCAATCTAATAATATAGTAGGTCTGCGCAGGGAAATTACACACATCATTATGTTCGCACGTGATATCAAATTACCGTCCAGTTCCATTGTTCAAGAAATAAAATGCAAATTGAGATCACAAGTACAGCTCGTACGCAGCTCTAAAAATGTCAAGAGTACTGTTAACGAATCTATACTCAACAGAAAAAACTAACAAAATGGGTAAACATAAAACAATCCATTTTTGAAGTGGATACTTTCTGGTGATAGTCAAGGTTTGAAAGCTATACTACTTGCAAGTAGAATTTCTTCCGGACGCGTTTGATGCGCGAGATTTCATCGTACGCTTAAGTGTGATAATTGCTGGCGATAGACCAACAAGTAGGTCGGAACTTGTACCGCGAGGAGTTCCTTTCGTGGAATCGCGTCTGTCCTCGTAGATCGGTTGGCTCGCGAATTATTCCAGATGCGGCTTAACGATAGAAACTTTCTTTTTCCATACTGTAAATCCGTCGAACAGGCGTACGAGCTCACCGCTACGTGCGGTAATAAATCCCGGTTCATTTAAATACACCAAGGACGAGTATGGTCAATCTTGTGGATTATCTCGACGCGAGTCTCGCGTGTCCCTTGGCGAGCCGGATTGGCGTCACCCTCGACTGACCCACTAACCTTACTTGACCAATACACCCCTTACTTTATCGGAGATCGGTAGCAAAGATTAGACTGGTAATTCACAGTTTCCGAAGCTTCTAAGCAGTTTTTTTAGGAAGATTTTATGAAACCCGTTGACCTTTTGAATAAAAAAGAAGAAAACTCGTTCGTCGCGTCGCGCAGACCTTCAATTTACTTCTCCTATAGATTTAAATGATACCTTGATTGGTCTCGATTGCAAGCGTGTCCTTTGATCGTAAAATTAGCACTCGCTGGGACACAATCGTCGTAAATTGAATACATAAAGCGAGGAGAGTTCGAATTGGAAAAGAAAAGATAATAAAAAATCTTTTTCAAACTGTCTGTCTGTCAGATGTGCTATTTAATCTGATATTCAATTTTTTTATTAAATTAAAAATAAGTACTTATTACGTAAAAGTGAAAAAAATACCAGTAGCCCAATGGAGAACGCTGTGCCCCTCTAGGTCCTTGGCGTTGACATCGGCACCGTTTGCCAATAACACGGCCACTAATTGCGTATCACCGGCGATGACAGCCAAATGAAGCGGCGTGTGCCCTTCCGCGTCCGGTGCATTTACCAGTTCCGGTGCCGCCGCGGCAACGGCACCTCCGGTTCCAGCGTCCATGCAATAGTGCAACGCGCTCCTTAGAGTTCTATCTCTATAACCGATCGTTTCCTCCTGTTCCTTCAATAATCTCAACACTCTGGCCCTGTCGCCCTGCTGACAAGCGTGCATCAAAGGCGTCGCGCCGATTTGTAGCACTCTGAAAGTTTATTCTACCTTTAAAAAATATTTGCAGAACGTCACACCTGCTGTGATCATAAAGTCAATCAGAAGCAAATATAAAAATTTCTAATCTCTATGCGGAATTTTTACACAGATTTTTCACAGAATTCTTCAGTTTTATGTATCAGAATGTAGTCGCTAATATAACTAACGTTTGAATATGCACGCATCGATCGGGGGTGGGAAAGTACTGTGTACCTGTAAGGCCTTTTTTTCTGATGATCCTGATATCGTATAGCGCTCGGTACATCACGCGACCACTGGTTAACGGGGATTTTCTGCCGCTGACGGTGATTCCTGTGGTACGGTGTCAGCGGGGGCAAGGACACGTTTTCACCAGCACTTTCCTGCTGCTTCGGTCTGGGCTTCTCCTGGTTCTTCAACGGGATCGTTGGAGTCTTAGTGTCCATGCCCGTCTCTGGCACCGGTTCACAACTGGTCTGACCTCGCGTGGAAGCATCTTTCGCCCTCTCGACGGATCGAATTCATCGCGCCGAAGAGAATGTCCGATTCCTTCTACCCGCGAACTGGGTCACCCCTTGGGAAAAGATTGAATGCAAACATGACTCGCTCCGCTGCTATGAATTTTTCATAAATAACACAGAGCATTCTTTTACACTTTTTAAATTACGGTCACACCTATTCCAAAAATTTATTGTTTAATGATTTCGAAATGTACGCATTTCAAATATAAACGTGACACAATACTTCTTCGTAAGTTACAAGAAACTTGCTTGGTGATACGTACAAAAATATAAAGCATATAAAAATATAAAATATCTGAAAGTAAAGGACATGCATACATAAATTTAGCAAACAGTTAATATGAAATGATGGTGAAGAAAATTATGATAATAGCTTGTCAATCTTTTTATTCATTTATTTCTGTCTGTTGCTATCCGTTTCTACCGTCTGACTAAAAACGCTTAAATTACTGCGAGAAGTAAACACAGTCATTGCGTGACTGACAACGTACACCTTGCAATCATCCTAATAATTCCTCGGCACAGAAATCTGCCCGGACACGTCCGCAGTAATGCAGCAACGCGTTAATCGCCAATGACATGCCAGCAGACAGAAGTAAGCAAAAAGTTCTATGCAAGCCTATCAGTATTCCTCACTCAGTTCTGTCACAAAGGTGCATCGATTTCAACGACAGCTCTCCGATAGACATTAGTTTGATTAACGATTAATTGATTGACGCCGAGACCTCGTTCTTAAAGAACAGACACTATTGCAAATCCCATCAGGAGTTTAATACCGAACTCGACCCGAATTTAAACCCCGGTTACTGACCACGTGGTGGACTGACCAGGTCATTCGCTACCATAGAAACCCAACGGCACAACACCGACATTCGTTGGTGGCTATTACGCTGGCTTGCACGGCAAGGTCGACTAATGTCCAGCTTTGATTTCCCTGCTTGTATCATTCCCCTTGCGACGAGACAGGCAAAAGAAATTTCAAACGATTCCGACACCTGTTGTGGAATTTGAAAATATCTTCGGAAATTTATCGAGCCATTCCGTGAAACAAAATCCTTTAATGGATAAAGTAACTCGTTGCCGTTCTAGCGGAATGTGAATTCAAATCGAACCTCCTGCTGTCTTCTGCAGACTTTATTCCGTCGTGTAAAATTGCAGGAAAAGGGGGAAAAAGAAGGGACGAGGGAGAAACAAGCGGCTACGAGGCACGGTAGCTCGTTCATTTTACTCACTTTAATTGTTCTCCCCCGTATCGTAAGAAAATCAGCTTCCACGCAATGTTAGTGCGCTACAATCGATATCGAAATTTGAAATTTTAATGCCTTTACATCGAAAGTTACATAAATAATGCTCGTGTTCTTTTCGATCGCGGCACGTATTGAAAATTGTAAGGGTCGAGGAGGAGGGAACGTTTGCGAATTCGAAAGTTTGCCGTGCAGTATGTGCGGCAGGTATGCGCTCGTGGAAAATAGAGCGATATGAATCGATTGATTTTCAAGGGAAAAGAAGTTTGATAAGAAATTAAAGGCGGACAGGTGTTGCACGCCACTGGCACAGTAGCACTAAACGAAATTGCTTCCAGCGGCAGTGTCCTTGGTACTCGCTATGAAATAGGAGATTCTAATACGAATAGAAAGCAGGGATTACAATCGAATTACGATACATCAGTGATTATAATCAGAATAATCTTATATTATTTTTTAAATTTCCATTATAAAAAATCCACAATAGAATTCGCGGTGTCTGTTTCATTCATCGTTTATAATAAAACTTATCCCTATTCCGATCCATCGTGACCAATTCGTTTGGTCACACGACGTCAAATCGCAGCGGTTGAAATGCAGAAAATCGTTTCGCATGGTGTGCATCATTCACTGCAATTTACTCCGCGCCTCGAATAGTGTTACTACCGTTCTTAAACAGCAGTGTCTACGTTCTTAGGTTGTTTCCCGTCACGTGTCACGCTATCGTGGAACCAGACTTCTAGGCGGTTTATAATGTGTGGAACAGCGCACGGAAGAATCGATAGCAGTTTTCAAGTTGCGATCTATCTTTTCTGAAAATTCTCCACTGTTCCAACGCGATTTCCTCTCCTATTTTCGTTATCGATAAATCAGTGTAATAATACGAATGAAAATATTCTAATCTCTATGAATGAATAACTGGTATAGAATTTGTTAATCATTTTTTATTAATAAAAATCGTAAAAGCAACGTGAGATTAATCGGAATGATTAGTCAGAATTCAGAGAAGCATGATACCCTTACCGCGATTTGAAAATAAGGACCAATAAAAAGTTTCGAAAATTCCAAGAATGTGTGAATCAATTTCGCTTAACGAAGTGGCGAACGAACGTTTAATGATATCTACAGCACACGTACAACGAACCCACGTGCACGTGTTGCTGTAACGCGGCGATGACTGAAAATCGTTATTTCGTTGATTCACCGTGCGGGAACGTCGATCGTTACTTTATTGCTCCGTTAATAATTCCCGGAGGCTTTCGTTCCTTCGTGATGGCGCGTCGTTAATATTTAATGATAACATCTCCCGTTTCACGTGAGATTACGTGCACCGTGCAGTAACGACGTGAGAACGTTTGATTTATCGTGCTTATTGGTGACCAAATCGATCGTTAATCGTCGATGAAATGAAAACGATCGCAATTGTACAAACGAGGGTGAAAATCGTGACGGTCGAATCAAGAATCATATCAGTGCAAGTCAA